TCTTCAGGTTAGGTTTCAACTGTTTTATGTATAAAGCTTCAAGAATTTTTAATTTTTGTTTATTGTTTTCATGTTTAAGTATAGTTGTGTTGTCAACAAGGATTTTCCGGAATTGAGTACGCGGGCAGGCATGTTGTTTTAAATGTCTAAAAATAGAGTTATCATTTAAATGTAGAGTCAAGTGTCGTGAAAGCGAGTTTGTGGTGTGACCAACATAAAGATTATTTAATCCATTGGAGATACAATCTCCCAAAGGGCAATTGAATTTGTATATATATTGGCAGCATATTTTAATTCAAGCATGTTTGGTTAAATAATTAAGACGTATTGTATCTATTTATTTTTGTTTTAATCCTTTCACGTCCACGAATTAATTTCTTGGTTACAACGTCTGACTCACTCCAGGCACAATAGTGTTTTGTTCAGCACTCACAGAGCACACCTGTGGTTTATAATGCAGACCTTAGTTACAGTTTCTGGGAGAGAGCTTGTTATCTAGCGTAGTAAACAATCTGAACAAGGCCAGCACACACAAACCTTCTAACAACGCGCACATTTAAGAATACGCATATATATATATATATATATATATATATATATATATATATGCACGCACACAGACGCACACACATATGCATATTATGTAGCCTTTTTTTTCTTATGTGTACTTAGCTTATGGGAATCTGTGGGAAAGAGGTTGCAGAGCAGAGAATAATTGTTCCTCTGCAAGATCGGATAAACGATATCGAACTTTAACAAGGCTGTAAAGAAGTTAGAAGATTGTGCAGCTCCAGTTCAGATACAACAGCAATGCTCCCTTTTTGGACGAATTTGACTTTTATAAATATAAACCAGGGCAGAAGAAGCCAGATCCATTTTTAGTGCGATAGAATATCGATAATCCCTCCCGTATTCATGAGCCTCAAACGAGTCAGGAGATATTCCGGTCGTGAAGGAAGTTTTAAGTTAGAAGTTATAATGAATCTTTATTCTTTTGGTTTGAGATTTTTCTAGTATATACACAAGTACGACGTCGGCCCATTTAATTTCCAGGAACAGGCCGTTACGCGCAGATATCCTTGGGAAAGGTATGAATCCATTTCATCTCCTACGACATATTGGTTAAATGTCTTTTATCTGTATATCTCATTTTTTAACTCTATTGCAGGCGTACATTTAAAAAAAATATATATATATATATATATATATATATATATATATATATATATATATATATATATGCACGCACACAGACGCACACACATATGCATATTATATAGCCTTTTTTTTTCTTATGTGTACTTGTACACGCATATACATAGTTTCATAAAAGACGAAAAAGCTATACAAAAATAATCAATAGTTATATGACACTGGCAGATAAAAGTCGTGTAAGATTCATTCGTACTCTACAAGAAATTCAAGACTTTCAGCTTCGTGGTCACTAACAACATTTCTCCACCAAAAATACTTCGTAAATGAATGCGGTCTACTAATTTTCTTGTTTCTTGTGACCTCCAGAAGACTGATTCCTCATCTCATTGAGGTGCCATATAAAAGCATCAGCAAAATCTTCAACCGCAAAAAAGATTAAATATTATGGAAGCTCTTTACATCAAAGAATAGTAATCCACGATCAATGACAGTTTTTTTTTCATGTTAAGATTTTGAACTGTAAGGTAATTTTAACCAGGCTAAAATCTATTTCACAGTCATAGCATGTGAACCGACACTCATTTCAGGCATTAAAATCTTAGCAACATAAACGCTACACTGGCTACCGATCGAATTAATACATTCTTGCCTTCAAAACGACCGACAATGTTCAAAGCTACTCGGAATGTAATACATAATTTAGTTCAATGATAAGTTTACACCTGACATCAAACAAGTTATTCGACACCAAAGAAATTCACTAAATTCTTAATATATATTCACTGTCGATCATACTGAATAATACATACACACAAACATGCACACACGCATATATATATATATATATATATATATATATATATATATATATATATATTTAATACAAGTAAAAGTTTGTCACTTAGCTTATTATGTTACCTTCAGCATCCCGACACCAGAGTTTCGTAGACAGACCCTCCGGTAATTACTCTGTCTACTCGTCCGCGGATATCAGCAATTGACTGCTTAGATTTCTCGATCTATCGTGTTATATGTACTTTTCATTGGGGTAATATTTTATTTTTTCGCGCATGTTTGTCCTTGCGCCCGTCTGTGCGGATGTGCCTGCGCGTGTAGAATGTGACTATTTGTCCTTTTCGTTTGATTTTTTTTACTTTACACGCACTCCGTAACATTCTCTCTCTCTTTCTCTCTTTTGTCTTTCGTTTCAATTGCAGCCATTTAGATTCCGGTTTTCAAGACATGTTATCTTTAAGTTTTAACGTTCTTTTCTTGATTTAGGAAAATTGCATTTCCTTATTGTGACATAAATAATTAATTTTAACGCTTAAAAAATAAAGTAAATATTTATATGTCTTCACTTGGCAATGATTTCATTTTCTTATATGATTTAGTATTTAATTACTATTAGTGCATTAATTTTAGGAGGTTAGCTTTGTAATTAAATTTTTTCTTTAT